GGATTTCTTATGGCATGCGGGTGAGAGCCTGTTGTGATCCCATTCCCACCTTCCCTACTCTTATCCCATTCCCACCTTCCCTACTCTCATCCCATTCCCACCTTCCCTACTGTCAAAGGCCCAAAAGTGCAGCAGTCCCATTCAGAGCCCAGTAATGTCATTTAGTCTGTACAACAGTAGGAGTCACTTTGAATCACATTTTACTTCCATTGCTGGAAAATGACCTTGCTGAATATGAGCCATGTTTCTGACACATAGCATGCAGTGCAGTATTCTTTTTCTGTATAAGTTTTCCAGCAGTATTTTAAAACCTAACCTACATTGATAGAGAAGCCAATAGATATCTTTGTTCGTTTTTTTTTATAGGGTTTCCCTGGTCCTCGAGGAGAAAAGGGTGATCTAGGCGAAAAGGGAGAAAAGGTGACCTCAGTGCTGTTATCTGTTGTTTGATTCCTCAGCCCAGTCCATTTTGCTGTCCCAACCCTATCATTTGTCCATTAAACCTGATCTTTCTTCCTACTGTGTGCCAAAAGGCAGGTCACGTGTATTTGTTAGACAAAGTCATCGGTCAGAAGGAGAACCAAAACCTCCATGCAGAACCAGTAATACAACACTTGCCAAGATAGTAGGGGAAGAGTTTGTCCACGCTCACCCTAAGATCAGGTTCCTTTTCTGTACCCCATGCCATGCCTGATGAAAGTCCTTGTCAGTCTGTGATTCTCAATGCACATGTCACTGGGGTAGTAATTTTTTTGTGTGGGAGACGCTGGCTCAGGTCCTCGGCTGGTATAAATCAATGTCGCTCCAGTGACTCCAGTGGGTCTAGACAGATTGATACCCAGCTGAGGATCTGGTTCCTTATAAAGTATGCTAGAGATTGTTTAAAAAATTTACAAAGTTTACAATTAAGAGAATTATCTTAATTATTTGCATTTGGTTGCTTTTATGGATTAAAGCTCTTCCCTATAGTTTTTGTAAGCCAAACAATGCAATATTTCTCCAGTGCATGAGAACCATAAAGTGAAATTAATTAGCCTCATTTCACAATCCAAGCTGAGTGATATGCAACTAATAAACACAGTGAAAAGCAATTCATATTTTAGGGCCAGAATGTGACTCTCCCTGCGGCCACAGGGAGAGTTTGCAAAGAGACTTCCTTCGTGCTGCCCACACAGGGGCTTACAACAAGTGCACTCTCTCTATGCCCACAGGAGTAGAGGGGTTGCTCCTTCAAAGAGGGCCTGCAAGAAGATATGACCTTGGCCCTGTATTAGACTACAGAGCAAGCAACTTGTGCAGGGGAGCAGAGTATATCATCCTAAAGGAAGACACTGCAAATGATCTCAAAAAATCTTAGCTTGAGTTTTTAAATGGCTTCACTTTAACTATACCCGTACCACTTTTGTGTTCACGTTCCATGGACATTCATGGGATCAAGTTTCACTGGCATGAATGTTCACAGAAAGTGAACCTCAGAGTCACATGAGCAAGTATTGGCAGACACAGAACTATAAATATTACATGCATGATGAGTATTCACTCCAGAAGTGCCTGTGAATCTTACGAGTCAGGGCACAGAAACAATACTGTTATGGCAACAAGTGCTAATATCATGCCTGTTGTGAGTCATTGAGATATAAGCATTCAGGAGGATTAAACTCTCCATAGAAAGGGATCTGTACAGTACTGCGCCCAGACATTTCTTAAGAGGATTGTGTAGGTTAAAGTGCTCTTCTTTCGGATGGAATTTTTTTAGCGTTCCTTTGTGTTGTAGAGTAGCAGCAGGGATGATCAGGCCACCTTGAGTAACCATGTGATCCTAGGTAAGGGATTTCCCAGAAATCCCGGGGGTTGAGGTAGGAAGGGGAAACTATATATTAAGCAATGACATTCCAAGAGAGAGAGAGGCCCAAGACAGGTGCTTCTTGGTGAAAAAGCAGTGGTGTCTAAGCTGAGTTTTTTGCAGTTTTTGACTACTTGTGTTCAAGGAAATAGGAGGTGTATACATCTTGGAAATAAATTATACTAGAAAACATCTTAGCTTTACAACACTGATTTCTGCTCCTAGTCGGAAATGGACCTTCCAGGTCTCAAGATCTGCTATTGCTTGGCAAGAGGAAACAATATCCTGTTATCTGCCCAACCACCCCTGATTAGCACAACGTTTAGAGCAAACAGCCAAAACTTGGAGAGAAATGTTCATGCATAATCGATTAATAGAGTTAAAGAAATTTAACTCCCCTCCCAAACAAAATAATGTTTTTTGGAAAATGGATATGAGGAAATTACAATCTGCTTGTCATTGTTCCAAAATCAGAACAAAGACGCTAATTTTATCCAATACATTTTTCAGTAAGGACTAAGTTAAACTGATAAATCATTCATTGTAACTTATTTTCTCAGCTGTAATAGTTAGGGTAAGAAAAAAAAAGTCAGAGAGCTGAGGCCAGGTCCTTAACTAGTGTAAATTAGCATAGCTGCACTGATTTCAATTCAGCTATGTGCCAGTTTACCATGATTTTTTCACTTTAAATATTGCTGAATGATATTGACTGCTAGGCTGATGTCACAGAGGTTCATATTATTAAATTTCTACACCAAAAATCTGAGGTTCATTTACACGGCAGAAATATGTAGCATAAACATGACATTTTTTTAGTGACCAATGACATCTCCTCTTTCACCTATGTGATCCTTTCCAATAATGTTGGGCAGCGCATAAATCTGCAGCCCCTTGGTTCTGATTAAATCATAGATGGGTAATTTCTCCTACAGGGGCTCACTAGCTCTGCTACAGTGAAAGAGAGTCAGTGTTTGCATCATAATTTCTGCATAACTTGGCTGTAAAAACATAATTGTTCAAAGCTGTAAGTTGGCGTACAAGGTTATATTCCAGGAGCACTTTTTGAGAAATAGGTTTTTTAAAGTGGTTTGATTGGTTTGTTGTTGGTTTGAATGGTTTTTTGTTGTTGTTTTAAATTGTATTAATCAAAAAAAGAATCCTCAAAAGTCTGCATTTAAATAATGTGGTATTTTGGGTCATTAAAATGGGTTTTAAAAACCTCACTAAGTACAGATGCCAGTAGTTTACCTTTTCTTTTTAAACCCATCTTTTTAAAAGGTATGACATTAACAGTTAAAAAAGGACAGAGATTGATTTTTCTGAACCCAGGTTAAGACTCGATCTCACTAAGTGCTTAACACCCTCCACTCCAATTGATATTAGGGGGGTGGGGGGAAGTCCAGAACCTCACCGGACTGCACTCTAAGGGCCTAATGCTCCCTCCTGGGTGCTGAGGGGAATCTGTGCCCAGGAGAGGGAGGAGCCTGTGTCCTTCCCCTAATTACATAGCAATCCCTCCACAGGTTTTGGGCTGCACAGGTCTGGAGAGAACAGGAGGGAGAGTGGGCTAGGGTAGCCAGGTAAAATTCTTTGATTCTTCATCTTTAATCACATGGGGAACACACAGCACAAGTTATAACAGCCTTAATCTATTGTCATTTGTGCTGCTCCTCTCTCCTCCAGATGCTGATCCTCCCATTGGGGAAAGAGCCCAGAGTCAGGACATATAGAGGGATCCCTTGAAGCATGGTTGCTGCAGGAGCTGTGCTCCCCAGCATCCATCAGTGCTTGACAGCAGTAGTGATGCATGGGGCATTCACACAGATGCTCCTGGACTTCTGGGAATCCCTTGAAATCTGCCTGAAACTCAGGGAAGTGGGGAGTGGCAAGTTAAGGGAACAGTAACTATTTCTCCCCCCATTTTTCCCACCCTCACCCAGTTCATTGAAGAATTAATAGGAGGCTCAGTGAGTTAAAACTGACAGAGGCCTGTTTTACATTTAAAATGTAGGTCGACATAGCTACGGTACTCAGGCGTGTGAGAAATCCACACCCCCTAAGCACCAAGGATGCTGATCTAACCCTTTGTAGACACAGCTAGGTTGATGGAAGAACGCTTTTTGACACACAGGAAAGAGAGATGAGGAATTCTGTTCACATGATGCCATAAATACAGTAGATTTGTCTATGGAAAACTCTTGTTTACATTTGAATGGTACAGTATACTGTAGTATTTCATGTATTTTATGTGTTTTCCCTTTTCTAAATGAATTACAGTAAGACAGTTTGTTTCTTAAATTAATCAAGTTTTTGTAAAAAAAAAATCATTTTCTAAATGGATTTAATCTTTGTGTTGGTGTGAAACTGGTTGAAAATCCATTTACTGTACTTCATCCTAAACATGTCTGCCTTTCCAGAGGTGCATTCTTTCCTTCTCCTTTTACCTTCTTTCCTTACAATTCCCTCTGTCTTTTTTATCTTTTTCCTTATAAATTGAATCCTTTCCACAGCCACAACCTTGAAAGCCCTCCCTTGGTTGTTCTCCAGTGTCATACTAATCTTCCTTTCACTATTTTCCTATTCTTTGTAATATACCTGGTGCACCCCACTCTTTTTTATTGTCCTACTCTTTTTTTTT